AGTTCATACAAGGTCCAGGGGAGGCTAAAATGGACCTTTCCGCAACTCAGCCAGGGATACATGCTGGCATCCCCTCACCACACTGAGTAAGCAAAACTGGGAAAGAGAAGACAGAGAAGGGAAGATAAACTTGAGACAATCTGTGGGCCTCTTGTACAGGCTGGGAAAAACACAAAGAGGCCATGTGTCTCCCCTCCCCATCTTACATTGTGGGACACACTAGAAAACTATTTCCAGAGCCATGATAAAACAGTATTCCTGAGTTCTCCAGCTTCCATTAATTTTTACAGCCCTCTAGATCTCAGCTTCTCCTAGGTAACCTAAAAGGATTTGAGCCCTCTAATAGACAAAAGCCCATCCTGGGAAAGGGACAAGAAAGGGATTGAGCTTTGCTAGGGAACATACAGAAGGAAAGAGAAAAACCTAAATCAGCCCTTCTTGGCCACAGATTTCAAAGAGAGAGAAACAAAACTGTGCCCAAAGAGCCTCACCTGGTCTTGGCTAGTTCGCCAAAATACATCTGAGTTCTGAGGTCTCTTAGAGGTGTATTCTAAGCTCTTGCTGTCCTGAACAGAGAATTGGTCAAGACAAGTGCAAAAGAGCGAGACCTTACATCTATTAAAGGGAGAAAGAGAAACACACTCTGCAGAGTGAATGTGGACCAATAAAAAGTAGAAGCTCACTACAGGCTGAGCACTGTGAAAGACACAGCACAGTGGTTAAGAATTTACTGATGGCCATCTTTGCATCCCCCACTTCTTAGGTGATGTCAGGTCTATGGCATCCTATCAAAAACCTGCCTGATTTCTCACAAGAATTGAAGAATGTTCTCTGGTCCCAGATGCAGGCTTGAGAATTGCTTTTCTGCACATCTCCCGGATCTCTGTTATTGCCCAATTGATCAGCTACTTTGCCACACCCTCATCTTTTGCCTCAGAATGAACAGAATTTTGGAGTTTTTTGTTGTTGTTTGTTTTGGTCAACTGGGGATTGATACTGGAGCCTTGTATGAGCTATGTCCCTGGCCCTTTTATACTGAGACAGGGTCTTCTTGCTAAGTTGCCCAGGCTTGTCCCAAACTTATGGCTCCAAAGTAGCCAAAACTGCAGGTATGAGCCACCACACCCAGTTTGGAACAGGTTGTCTTTGTCTGACTGATGAAGGACCAATGAACAGTGGGTTAGGGCCAGACCAAGAATTCCACCCTAGAAACTTTAAGTTGGAGATCTCATGTGCGAGACACAGAAGAGTCAAGAAATGGCAGGGGGACGTTTGGAACCAAGGTTTGGGGACATCAGTGTTTGCAGGTCAGAGAGATGACAAGAAGCCCAGGTCAAACTGAGGTCATCCTGGACTGGGGTGGGCCCTAAATCCAATGACAAGTGTCTTTACAAAAACAAGAGAAAGATAAAAGAAGACCGCACTGAGACAGAGGCCAGGTGAAGTCAGGAGCAGAGATTGTATGAAGCAGGCTCAAGCTGCCTGGAGCCCCTGAAACTGAAGGGAAGGGAAAGATCCCTATTCCAGGACACACCCTTACTAAGGTCGTCTCATGGAGAGGGGACTGACTTTTTCATTTAGCAGCACTCCTGACTGTAGCTTCAGGAATGGATGGGGGGGGGGGGTCACAGGTGACAGAGCCCCTTATCAGCAGAAACATCAGTATAGGGGCTTTTGAATTGTGGAATTTAGAAACACAGGCCAAAGCAGAGATTGTCTCAGTTCTCTGCCTTGTTGACTTACTCTCTAGGGACCAGCCCTAAACCACAGCAGGCCTTGGAGGCACCCTCAAGGGTTTTGAAAGACGACCATAGGAGCAGAGAGCATTTCCTTTGTGGTTTTTCCCCTACCCACCCAAAGCAGGAACCGTAGGCCAGCAGGATGAGAACCAGCTCCTGGATAAATCAATTTAAATTGTTTCCTTAAGGAAAAGGGATTTTTGCCAGGTATGGTGGTTCATAATTATAATCTCAGCACTCTGAAGGCTGAGGCAGAAGAGGGCCTGGGCAACTTAGTGAGAACTTGTCTAAAAAGAAAAAAGGTTGGGGAGGATGAGCATCCAATTCTAATTACGCACTGATCGTAAGCGCAAAGGCTCTGGGTTCAATCCTCAGTACTGGGGCTGGGGTGGGAGCAGGTGTGTTATGTTAATTTCCTGAGCCTAGTGGGGGACAGCTGGGTAACTTTCCCTCACCTGATTCTCTGGGGCCTTTGGAGCTCTGTGCAGCATCCTAATCCAGATGGCACGAAGCCACTGGGCTCAGGTTTCTCAGCCAGTCCTTATTCCTCTCTCAGGAGTCAGGTTCTGTTTACAACCCACAGGCAGAACCTGCTGCCAGTTCTGAGGTGTGAGCTCCTGGAGCAACAAGAACTTCTGCCTGCTGGGAACTTGGTACAACAGGCCTTGGGTTCCCCATCCTTGCAGCAAAGACAGTAGCCGTGGAGACAGTGAGCACACACACCTGCTGTATCTCCTGCAGCCAGGCTGCCAGCCCACCTACTGCCTTGGTTTCCCTTGCTGTGAAATAGCAACAGCTACAGTGCAAGAGTCTAAGGACCAACACTTGGGGGCACACCTTGTCACCAGCATCCTCCTCTGAAACGAGGCCAGCCAACTAGAGAAATCCACACGGACTGTACTTTGGGCACAGGGCCCTAGACCCCTCTACTTCTTGTCCTTGTTTCTCCCCTAACAGGCCCCACTGACCACCAGAGTGCGTGGGTGCAAACCAGTACTTTTGGGGGGTGAGGTCCCTGTATTTCAATGTCTGTCCACTGAAGCAAGAGGCCTACAGGCGCCATCACAGGGCTAGTAAGTGGGCAGGACTACCTGTTAGTCTTTCTCTCAAACAGATGTGATTGAAGAATATATTTGACTCAGCGTTGTAACAGCAACATGAGGGCCATTCATACTAATGCACTATGTTAAAAAGTTAGCCAGGCATGTTGGGACAAATCTGAAGTTCCAGCAACCCAGGAAACTGAGGCAGAAAGAGAATTCAAGTGCAGTCTGGGCAACCCAACTACAAGATCTTGTCTTAAGTTAAATTTTTAGGGGCCGGGGATATAGTTCAGCAGCACAAGTGCCTGCCTGACAAATGCAAGGTTGTAAGTCTGATCCCTCATACAAAAAAAAAAAGAAAAAAATTACTCAAGTTAAATTTTTAAAAGGGCTAGCTGGAGGTGAGTGTGGTGGTACATGCCTGTAATTCCAACACTTGGGAGATACAGGAGGAGGATCACCCTGAGTTTGAGGCCAGCCAGGGCTATGTAGTGAGTTAGTGAGTTCAAGACCAGCCTAAACTACATAGTGAGATCCTGTCTCAGGAAGGCAATATATATGGTTGAGAACAAAGCTCAGTAGGAAGGTCCTGGGTTCAATCTATAGTACCTAGCCAAAGAGTCAAAGTTTGTATATTTAAACTGTGAGAGAAAAGTGAGGGACAGGTAATACACTCTGAAAATCAGTTAAGAAAAATGGCTACAACCTGCCTTGTTTACAGAGGCTCCATTTTTTTTTTCTTGTCTTTTTTTTTTTTTTTAATCGGTACTGGGGATCGAACTCACAACAGCCTGCTTGCAAGGCAGGTGCTTATGCCACTGAGCTAAATCCCCAACCCCTTTTCTTGTCTTTTTGAGACAGGGTCCACTATGCAGTTCAGGCTGGCCTTGAGCTCACTTTGTAGCCCAGGCTAGTCTCGAACTTGCAAGGATCCTCCTGTCTCAAGCCTCCTGAGTGCTGGAATTACAGACATGTGCCACCACACTCGGCTAGAAGCTCCATTCTTAACACTCCCAAACTAGAGACAACCCAGATGTCCCCTGACTGGTCCCGGGCTCAGTAACCATGGGCCACTGGCCTCAACAGCTAGCTGCCACCCTGGGACAGTTTCCTAGAACACAGCCCTGGGTATCCGCTTTCTCTAACAGTGGTTTCCAGTACTTGCCATGGAAGCCCCAGGAGGGTCAAAGCCAGCTTGATCCTTACAGGAAAACTCACAAACTTCTCAAACAGCGTGGGATAAATTAGCACATTGTGGAACCCTCACCATATAAAGGGGGACAGCTGCTTTCAAACATGAGCAATCACTTGAGCCCTGGAGTTGGAAGCCAGCCTAAGTTACACAACTGTATATACATTGTCAAAACACAGAAGGGAATAGTTTTAAAAGGAACGTTATGGTTTGTAAATGATACTTTCAATTAAGGGGGAAAAAAATCCAGTCAAGTGTTTGGAGGGCGAGGGCAGGTGGGATAAAGCCTGAGAGCTCTGCAGGGAGTAGATGCAGCCGTACGCATAGGCGCTCTAAGGCAGGGAAGCCATGGATGCGGCCGGCGTCCCTGGATCTGTCCACCCAGAAAGCGGGCGGGGGATGAGCAGTGCAGGAGACGCGGCACTGAAGGGGCAATAGAGGGCTCTTACGAGCAGGGACCGGGGAGGGTTGGAAAACTGTAGACTCCGGGAAGCAGCAGGGACTAAGAGGGCCAGCAAGATCCGGCCAGAGATGCACCGAGGATGGGGGGGGGGCGCCCGAAATGCGGCCCCTTTCCAAAGATGCGACCTGCGCGACTGTGACCTCTCCCTCCGCCGCAGAGTTCTCCCCGGTAAGGCAACCCTTTCCCCAAGATGTTGCCCACGCCCGCAAGGAGCTACTACCCCCCTCTTCCAACATGCGACTCCTACCCCTCCACAAGCCCTTCCCCCGAGATGTGGACCCTCCTCTATCTGCATCCTTTTTGCAACGTAAAACACCCCACCCCACTCCCAGGCAAGCAAGCCCTCCGGGAGATCCGGACCCTCGCGGCGACGTTAATCGTTCTCCAGACGCAGCGCGATCGCCCTCTGCCTCGCCCTGCCGCGTGACGCACCGCTGACCCCACCCCACTCCTCCTGCCCCTCCCTAGCGCCCACCCCACCCTCGCGGCGCTGGCCCACAGCTAGCTCTTCATTGGTCCGAAGCTTGAAGGTGGCGCGCTCGGGATTGGAGGACGCCGCGTTGCTCTTGCCCCTGACCGCGATTGGCTGGAACCGCGGGGTTCTCCAGTCCCGGCCTCAGAGGCGCGGACGAGGCCTGCGACGGCGGTGCGAGTCAGGTGAGCTAAGGCCGGCTGGCGGGCCGCGGTGAAGGCCAGAGTGGAGGCCGGGTAAGGGACCGAGGAAGCCTGGGTCGTGCTTGAGACCCAGAATGCCGCCTAGGGTGGGCAGGCGGGCGGGACCCGGCCGTGTTGCGGGCTAGCTTTGGTCGGCAACAGTCACCGCCCACGGCCCGCGCAGCGCTCCTGCCTGCAGCCGGCCGGAGGCGTCCCTTTGGTGCTCTATCCCCCCCCACCAGCTCCCAAGCCGTGCTCCTCCGGTGTCCCCGAGACCTCAGTTTCCCAATACCGGGTCTCCTAACCCCCGAGTCTCGGGTCCCCAAGCCTGGCGCGCAAGCGCGGCCCCATCCCCCTCCACGGGCGCGTTCTGCCGGGGGCGCAGGTGCCCGGGCGGGGCGCAGGGCGGGGCGCGTGGGGCGGGGCCCTGCCCTGGCTGCCGGGCCCTTCGGAGGCGAGAGGACCGAGACACCTGCCCTCACGCTGCCAGTCGCTCGGGACGGTCACCTATGCAGGTCTGTTGGGTACACTGTTGGTCACTTTAGTATTTGTTAAATCTGAAAAGTCATGGTCATTACAACAGTTGTGTGTTTTTCAAATCATTTCTGACATAGTTTGCTCACCTCCCCTTGGTTTTTCCTCCGAGTGATTTGGAAATGCAGTGCTACTGTTTGGGTATGGGATTTTGGGATGATTGTGTGTTGTTCTGTTTGTTAGATTATCATAATGCTTTCTTCTAATACACCTATTCCACATTTTAATTTGGCTTCATCTTAAATTTCCCAGAGCTTTTCCCCTCTGAATCTGGGCACGTGTTTTGTCTCGTCTAACCCCAAGCCAGGGTTTATGGCTATCAGGGTCCCGGAGCAACCTTCTGTACCCTCCTTCTGGTCCCAGAAAAGGTCGTTCCCTCCTGGGGCCTCAGGTGAGAGTGAAAGAGTTGAGAGGCACTTGCTGCCCCAGAGTAAAGGTTTGAGTCTAGATGAGCCTTGTTTTACTCTGTATAGTTTTCTGGGGGTGAGAACAGGAAAGGGATGGGTGCATGGTACCTAGCAACTGATTGTATTTGTGTATTAAAAATATGCATAAAATTAACCGTTTTAAACTGTTCAGCTCAGTGGGATTAAATACATCCATGGTGTCACCACTCTCTAGTTCCAGGCTTTATTATGCTAAATGGAAACCTCTTACCTCTTAAGTCTTTCCGCAGTTTTTTCTTCCTTAGCCTTTGGCAACCACTGATGTCCTTCTTGCCTCTGGATTGACCTAATCTGGTTCAGTTCATGTCAGTGCAGTCATATAGTATGTAGCTCTGTGCATCTATCTGGGTTCTTTGACTTTATGTGTTTTGAGATTCATCTGTGCTGTAGCATACATCAATATTTCATTCCTTACTATGGCTAAGTCATTTCCATTGTATGTGTATGTGGAACTTTACCCATTCATCAATCTATGGGCCTTTGGATTGTGTCTGCCTGGATGTGCTGCTGTGAACATTAGTGTGCAGGTTTTTATTTGAGTGTCTATTTAAAAAATTCTTCAAGTATATACCTGGGAATAGGTGTGCTGGATCATATGGTAATTCTGTGTTTAAGTATCGGTACCGGGGATCGAACTCAGATGACCACCTGCTTGCAAGGCAGGTGGTTATACCGCTGAGCTAAATTCCCAGCCCTATGTTTAAGTTTTTGAGAAATAGCCAGACTTTTTGCATAGCGATTGCACCATTTTTTATATTTCCACGAACAGTGTGTGAGAGAATTCTATACTCTCAACGCTTGTTATTTTCCTTTTTTTTTTTTAACGTTATGACCATGTTAAATAGTATCTTGTGGTTTTATTTTGCAGTTCTCATATGACACAATGAATGATGTTGAACACCATTTTAGTGTCTTTGTTGGCTGTTGGTGTGTCTTTGGAGAAATGCTTATGTAGTTCCCTCATCCCTTTTTGCTGAGACAGGGTCTCATTATATAGTCCAGACAGGCTTTGAACTCACTATGTAGCCCACTCTGACCTTGAACTCCGGTAATCCTCCTACTTCAGTCACCAGCCTCCTGAGAGCTTCGATTACAGGTGTGTGCCACCACACCTGGCACCATCTTTTAATTGGGTTATTTTCTTGGCTGAGTTGTAGTTCTTCATATATTCTGGATGTCAGACCCTTTTTAGGTCTCCTTTTTTAGAGTTGGTTTCTCACTGTCTTGGTAGTATCTTTTAATACTAATTGATATAATTTATCATATGTTTTTACTTTGTTGCTCACACATTTGGTGTCCATATGTAAGAATTCTTTGCCAAATTCTAGGTCATGAAGAGTTAATTATGTTTTAAGATTTTTATTAGGCCAGTGTGGTGTCACATGCCTGTAATCCCAGCACTCTGAAGGCTGAGGCAGAGTGGGGAGGCTGAGGCAGAAGAGGGAGGCTGAAGCAGGAGGATTACTGTGAGTTTGAGGGAAGCCTGGGTTCTGTAGTGACCAGCCTGAACTGCATAGTGAGACCCTGTATCAAAGAAAAAAACAAAATAAAATGAAAGTCACTGGAATTTCATTATAGTTTAGCTCTCATATTTAGGGCTTTGCTCCATATGGGGTTCATTTTGGGATATGATACAGTATATATGGTAGGGTCTAACTTCTTTATTTTTGATGTAGAAGCTCAGTTCTGCATTCATTTGTTGAAGAGACTTTGTGTGTGTGTGTCTGGCCAGTACACGGCCCTGGTAGCCATGTCAAAATCAGTTGGCAAAAAAAAAAAAAAAAAAATCAGTTGGCCATAGATACAAAGGTTTATTTCTTGATCCTGAATTCTGTTCTGTTAGTCTATGAACTGTCCTTACACCAAGATCACGTTTTTCTAGAAAGTTTTAGGATCAGGAAGTGTGATTTCTCCAACTTTGTTCTTTTTCCAAGATTATTGTCATTTGAGACGTGTTATAGTTCCATCTGAATTTAAGGATCAGTTTTTTCATGTCTGCAGAAAAAATTAACATGATAGAGATCTGTTGGTTCTAGATCACTTTCAGAGTGATCATTACAGTATTTACATTTACATAGTCTTTTAATACTTGCACTGGAGGGTAGGCTTTTTAAAATTTCTTTCAATACATTTTGTGGTTTGCAGTGTGTAAGTCTTGTACTTGTTTGGTTAAATTTATCTGTAAGGTTTTTATTATTTTTGATGCTACTGTAAAAGAAATTTTCTTAAAAATTTTTATTTCATTTCACATTGTTCATTGCTAGGGTTTAGATGTACATACAGGGTGTCTTTTGATTTTTGTTGTTTTATTTTATTTATTAGGGGTTGACCCCAGGGTTTTTGTCCTGAGCTACATCCCTGTGCCTTTTAAAATTCTTGAGTCTTGCTAGATTAGTTGGGTCTTGAATTAGTTGTGATTGTCATGCCTCAACCTCCCAGGGTGCTGGGATTACAGCTGTTTGCCACCATACCTGGCAACGGTTGGTTTTTGTATATTGATCTTGCATCATGCCACTTGGCTTTAATAGTTATTTTCTATGAGTTCTTTAGGATTATATATGAGGACATGCCATCTGAGAATGATGATAATCTTACTACTTCCTTTCCAATTAGATTCCTTTTATTTATTTATTTTGCAGATTGCTGTGGCTAGGATCCCCAAGGACAGTGTTGTTTAGCAGTGGTGATACTGGGCATTCTTGTTTTGTTTGTGATCTTAGTGGAAGCTTTCTGTGTTACACTTTTGTGTGTGTGCACATATGCATTATTGGTGATTAAATCCAGTGGTTTTTCACTGAGCTACATTTTAAGCCCTCTTAAAATATGTATTTATTTATTGAGATAGTGTCTTGCTAAGTTACTGAGTTGTTCAGATAGGACTTGAACTTAGAATCTTCCACTTTAAATTCTGAGTCTTGCTAAATTAGTCTCAAACTTGTGATTCTCTTGCCTCAGTTTACCAGAGTGCCGAGATTACAGGTATATGCCTTCATTCCTGACTTTTTTAACTTAGCTGGGGACATGGACATGGGAGTCACTTTGTATTCCTGGTTTGACTGTTTTATCCCAAGGGAGTGTAGGGATTCCCTGGTGTGTTTTTGTATTTGTTGAGATGATCATATGGTTTTGTTTGTGTCTAAACAGCCTTTAAGGATTTGATCCTTTTCTCATGTATTTTGTTTCTGTTTTCTGCCCTCACTTCCTATTGGAAACAAGTACCAGTAGTTTTTGAGTCTTTTGGGTGTTCTATGATGAAAGTTGGATGTTTTTTAGTTTTTCTCATTTTAAGCTTATAATTCATCTTTTTCTGGCCCAAGTCAGTTTTTGTGTGTCTGATTTCCAAAAGTTTCAAGGAGTTTCATCTCCTTTTGTTTTTGTTCTCCTGGTTATCTTCCTAAGAATAGTGCTTTGGGAAAGGTGAAAGCTAACATCTCTGTGCAGTGCAGCATTTTTAACTGGAAATTCCTGGGCGATCTATTTTCAGAGAATACTAGTATTTAATGGAGTGTGTTGTCTGGTCACAACCTCTTTCTCCTGGCCCTGAATTTATGACAACTGAACCATCTCCTAAATAGTTCGTGTTTAGCCTTTCCGGATCTTGAAAACAAAGCCAGTTTGACTTGACTCTTAGTAAGTGCAAGCTGCATGGTTTAAGTGGGACCCAGGGGAAGCCCCACCCTTCACTCACCTTGCAACACTTGCTCTTCCCTGGACATCTCCAGGGAAGTTGAGAGTCCTGGGAGCTGTTAGTTTTCCTGTACCCACTGATGCCTCAGGCCAAGCATTTCTATTGCCTCCTTGAAGAAACTTGCATTACTGCTGCTGGGAATATAGAGGTGGAGGAGGTGGCCTGGTCCTTGTAGTCAGAGCAGAGGTTGTCATGTTTAGTTGCTTGGAAACAAGGTCTGGTTTTCTTCTTCCCCTTGCTCCCTAAATTTGGAACTCATTGCTGTTTTGGACTGCTTACCCTACTTGGTTTTCATATAGAGTCTGAAAATAGTAGCTCTGCATTTGAAGCAGTTT